GCATAAAAATTGTGCAGCTGGTATAATAACCGAAGCTACTTAATTTGATGTAAACTGCTTTTCAAAAGTGCTGAATGAAGTAATGAAGATTGTCAATGTTCCATGGTTACATTTTTATTTATTGAGTTCAAAGTCACCTAAAACTTTCTGATAGATTCACTCACAGTTAGCACGGCATGGCTAATTTAATGGTAGATAGTCACCTTATATACCTATACTAAAAAGACCAATATATAGTTCATTATGGGAAAATAAGAGTATAAACTTTAGTGTTTTTGTTGTCCTTTTTGAGCCTAAATAGAAATCCAGCATCAGGTGCCATGAGATGACATAAACAGACATGGCACCATCTACTGGCAGTAGCACTGAACTACCAGAAACCAAAAGGCTGACCATTGACATAGCTACTAAATGTTCCGACTGTGCTGTAATACCATCAACTTAGAGGGTGGGATTTAAAAGCATTGCTAACACCAGTAGCACTATTTGCAAGGACATGTACTCACCTGTCTAACAACTTCACAGCGACATTAGAATGCTTCCTGAGCTTTAGCTGCAGCTTAGTGTACTCCAACAGTTGTAATGTTTTCCTAATGCAAGTCACGTTTGATCCCTCTTGGAATCCCAACTTCTTGCACCGTTTTACCCTTGCATGTTGGACTTTTTTTTTTTATTTTAATGATGCTGAAACTTCCACTCTTGCTCCATTCTATTGCTTTAGCTTGTTGATCAATTTTACACAAGCGCAGTGACGTAATCTCGATCGCATGATAATGATTAACATACTATATTTGCTAACAAACAGAGCTAAAAAGAAGCTTAAAAGACAGAAATAGTCTACGCCAGCAGGACACCATAATTGTATGCGACCAAAGTGAGTTACAATGGTATACATTTAAATAAATGTCAAATAATTTGACTATGTACCTTTATAGGTCAAAACATTTGATGAGATATATGATGGGTAACATGTTCATGAGAACAGGTGGTATTGTACAGTGGCTCTGTGGCTCGCACACTCTCTCCTGACGATCAAAATGTCTCTCAAGATGTAGTAAGCACAATGTTTTCTCATATGCTGGTGGTGATTGTACTATCACTCGACATGTTGGCGGAAATTAGACAGAAGGCCCCCTCTGTCCTTTACTAGGGAAAGATCTGAATGATTATGAGGTGAAACGAACATCATCCTTCCTTTGAAAGCCATTCAGCCCCCACAATAAGCTTTTGTGCACTACTAACGGTGACATTATCTCATCCTGGGAATTTTTTGTTTTGGTAACAAATGTCGGTGATTCAACCGTGTTGTATTCACCTGATCTCATCCTTATCCTTTCCTCACGTTTTATCGATTGGCTTATCTTCTTCTAAGCACCGCATGCACTCTCCTGCCTTTCTTTTACATACTGGAACCAGCGGTTACCCTGTGTGTGTGTTATCGTGGTTTATTCAGCCCTTGTCTCTTTTATTTAGTCAGACGAGTCGTAGTGTTGCACAACAAAAAGCCAGAAGTCAACGCCCTCCTCTATGAGTGGGCAGTGTTGTATTTATATGGACTCTGTTCTCTCCAGCAGAGTTTCAGTTCGCTGTCACATTCTGTGCTTTTTCCATGAAATATCTATGGATATTTTAAAGGTTATGGTAAATGAGTGTGACCTACCCTTGGTTCTTTCAGGTCACTCAGGTGGAAGGCTGAATAGTGGTTAAAGATTTACTAGTAGGATCTTTTGTCATCAAAGAAAATGAAAACTGGATGCATTGTAGGGATGGGAACAGAGAAATGCTTCATTACTGCTCTGTTTTAAAGAAAAAGTCCGGTCACATTCAGAATACAAACTCTTAAAAGTACTTTAAGTAGGAAATTGTTACGTACTTTTCAATAAAACATAAGTGTTTTTAATTAAGAGTAATTTCATTTCAATGTGCTTTACGGAGACATTCATGTTTGTCAAAGAACACTACTGCCACCTACCGGTTTGTGACATGACGGTGCTGTATCGGCTGTTGAGCAAGTCCCAGTGCTGTATCTGTCCATGATGGTGACGACCAGTGAACTATGTGAAGCAGAGAATAACGGTTTAATGACGTGTTTATTCTCTGGCCAGAAGTTCGATGGCAAATCCTCCGTCTTCAAGTTGGCAATCCAACGACGAACCCGTCCGTGGAGGATTATGAATCAGAAAGGTGAAATAATTCATCTGTTTTTACTTTTACTCGATGTATTATAACATCCAACTGCCATGCACGTGGGCATTGTCAGTTTCACTATAGCTCTCCTGAATTTCAATGGTGAAGTCCTCTCGAAATGTAAAATAATTGTGTTGATTGCAGATGTGTGTAATTGTCCCCATTAATTTTGCATGTAAAGTGGGCAGAATGGCGCTAGGCTTACTGCACCGTGATGTCACTGCCGGAAGATGTCAGGAGTGTGATGTTTCTATGTTTGGGCAAAAATGGCCGCTCCCGAACTCAGTGATTGCAATGAAAAATTTTGTTTTTTACTGATTAACGCTAAATTAATTAAATCACTGCACACGTATTAGTTTTAGGTATAAATAATGACCCATTGGTTATTCCTTGCTGCACTGTTTAATTTAGTAATAGGATGTTACAACTGCTGGCCAACCAAGACATGACAAACTAAAGTTAGTGTTTTATCTCGCTGAATGTGTGGAACACTTTTTCTTTGGGCAGAGCCCATTTCTGAGGCAGATCTTTCTGGTGTGAATCTATTCCGGACCCTGTAGACGACAATTGAACCCTAGCATGGTTCCATCTGCCTATCTAGGCTTGATTTAGCTGGAACCATTCGCTTGCAGTGTGAATACATGCCTTTTCTCATTGTACCGGAAGATGGGAGAGAGGATGTAACACCTGAGTGGAGAACTTGGAGTAAAAACAGAGATCCCTGAAAATATTTCTTTGAGCTATGTAGAGTGATATTGTGAGATGCGTGAGATTTCTTGGCCTAGTTTTACAGTCTCTATATGACACCAAACTGTGGCAACTGAGAAGGTGAATCTTGCTTTTACTGATTCCTGGACTGAACCAGCAAGTAGGGCACCTTGCAAGTAGGGCAAGGACAGCGTGTAGCTGAGAAGCAGCCAAGAAGCCGATGGTTTCTCAAGAAAATGTGCAGAGAGTTAAAGTTGTAGAGTATTCACAGGATATTTCAATTCAAATATTCCTCTCCAGAATGGCGTCACAGCCAAACAGGAACAGATTAGATTAAGTCACTATGATGAGAAAAAAGAGAGAACATAATGTCATCATCAGAGATTGAACAAACAAATACTGCAGAATGGGAGAACAGAGATGGAATAATGAAAAGATGTCCCTATGTCCTCCAGCAGTCTAGGCTTATAGCAGCACTAATGCAGAAAATAGCTCAGGATTTTGGATGAGGTATAAGAAAGGTAGAGCCACAGTGTGGCCAAGGGTGAATGGTTTACATCAGAGCTTAGTCATGTGCTAGATGGCCTAGTCAAAGTACTTGTACTCACCACCTTAGCTGGCTCCACTCAATGTGGAGGAGAAGCATCTCTACTCCAAGCTTCTCCCAAATGACTGAGCTCCTCACCCTATTTCTTAGGGAGTGCCCAGCCACCCTCTTCAGCCACTTGTATACGGGATTTTGTTATTTTTTCATGACCAAAGATTTCACCACAAGTGAGCAATAAACCATCCACATTATAGTTGAGTCAAAGTCAAAGACCTAAATTTGATTAATTAGCTTTGGCAGAATTAAAGAAAATTAAAGCAGTTCTGTTCACAAGCTGTTTCTATCTTTAACTGAGTTTGAACTATCTTGATGATAAAAATTTACCAAATTTTGGTCTGTTTTAGTTATAAAGGGGGAGTGTAACCCCAAGGACTGTAATAACTACTATGTAAGGTAGCTCTGCAATGCCTCAACAGAGCTAATTTTATTCACATGTGAGGAAGTTAAGGTGTGCTTTTTGTAAAAGGCACTCTAAGACCTTACAAAAAAAAAAAAAGCCAAGTCATACTTTCATTCAAGAAATCCATACCAGCATGGGAGATTAGGTGGCTGTTGAACATATAATAACATTTCACCAGACAGCTAGAATGCTTGTCATAGTTGTTTCTTGTAATGCCTTTGTCCGGAAGAGCTTAGGCAGAGGAAATGAGTCTAGCTTGGACTGCTGTCCTGTCTAGTTGGACAGGTTCCGTAGCTTTCATTAAACCTTGATTCATATCTCCAACAATCTCCGGTTCTATAATAATTCCATAAAAAACTACCTGACTTACCTATTCCTCTGGTCTCCAGGGTTGCTGGTGAAGCTGTTTTCTAGACAAGTTTGGAGATTCTTATAGCCCTTTTCTGTGGCACCTGAGATTGGATATGCCTGAGGGGCCCAGACATAATAACAGGGGAACAGTGGCACCTGCTCTAGTGTTAAACCAGGCTGTGTACCTTTGATCGGGATGTTATTCCCTCTTTTTATTTTCTTCAATGCTACGCTCTTGCTCTGGAATGCCTTTAATAGCTCTCCAGTCTCCACATAGTGCACCTGTGACTGGCAAGGTGTTTTATTAGCTGTGATTTTTGCGTGCCCACCCACCGGTGCCAACTTTAAGAAGTCCTTGACATCCCACTGCTCATCACGTGGTGTCATCTGGTGAAAGAAGTCTCTCTATTCTTGTTGCAGAGAAGAGAACAATGTCTTCTCTCTTCTCCCTCCTCGGATGCTAACGTCTCCTGTTTGAATTATGTAATTGGATATGGTGCAGAACCCGTCCAGTAACCCAGGCGCGGGAAGAGAGACTTTCACTCAGCCCCCATGTCTTTGTTTTCTATGTTTTTCCTACTTCATACTTGGTTGTTTTTCCAACCCTCATCCATCTCTTTTTTGCTTTCTTGCTGTCTGCGTTTTAACCTCCGGCCTAATCCTCTGGTTATTGTGCTCTCACCTGTGAGCAAACCGGGCAAACTGTTGCTGCTGTTATATTTCTTCCCTGAAGCTGGCTCTTTGTGCTTCATTGTAGGTTCAGAACCAAATGCTACACATGGGTTCACATGTGGGGCTTTGTGTGATTTGAACTGGAGGAACGAGTTGGATCACCACTGAAAGAGAGCTTAGAGAACACAAAAAAAGATGAACGAAGGTGCAAAAGTGGCTTAAGAGGCGAGAAAAAGGCTTTCTCCGAGTTTCTTTTAGAAATCTCATTGAAAACATCCTCTTACTGGACATCATGTTGGCTTAATCATATTTCCAAATCAGTGCGAGGTCATCCTGGAGGTCAGCTCTTTAGGGAGTTTCCTCTGCATCCACGTACCTCCCAGCTGCTGTGAAATACAGAGAAACAGGAAGCCATGTGGTTTGATCATCTGTAGCACGAGTGTGAGTCAGAAGGACCGAGAAGTTCAAGAGGGATGAGATCAGAGGAGGACAAGTAAATTCTCAGGCGGAAAAAACACAGGTAGGGACTTCAGTTTTTTCAAAGACATCGTTAGAACTCTGTGAAGAGTTATTGCTACAGCTCTCTTCATGTTTTTAAACTTTCACATCAGTTTTAATCTAACTGCTTTCTTGTGGGGAAGTTTGCAAATTAGATCTATGTACTGCGAACCTAATGTTATTTAAAGTAGCAATTTTAAAAAGCAGCTCAAACTGCAGAAAAAGGAGGGAAAGAAGTCGCATTTGTAATTATTCCACTTGAGGAACTTTGTTTGGAGCAGAGCTGAACTTTTAAACTGTTTCTTTTATCTGAGCAGCAGCCCCAGCCTCCCATCCTTTCCTAATGTGGAAAAAAGGGAAATAATTACTTTATGTTTCATGATAGATGGTCACATTTCTTTCATAACAAGCTCCTTGAATAATGTGTTCTACTAACCTAGTTATGAAAAACAATGAGTTGAGTTTTGCAGCAAACGTACAATGTATGATCTAATGCTTAAACATTAAACTCAGTCTTACTGTAACATGACATATTGATTATTACACTTATAAAAATGTTATTTACAGTGTTTATATATGTATAGTTTATTACAGGAAGCAGAAAGATTTATTATGCAGAAAAACAAACTAATTTTAGCCAGTTGATTTGTTGCCTGCATAGCAAACACACTTCTTGTACCTTTATAACAGCATTTCAAAACAAATAAGTTTTTAAGTATAAGTGTTGATAGTGCTGCTGCTGTACTAATTAATGTGTCCACAAAGATTAGTTTGTTTTTCACTAAATATGGGCAACAATGTGTGTCAGCTTTTTTTTTGTTTTTGTTTAAATCTACAGCTGGAGGAGGGGGAAGTGAAATCTTATTCTGTTCTTCATAAAGTCAAACACAGCTCCCATAAAATGAGTTTAAAGGGATCCACGACTAGTTGAGCATGTTGGTCTAAAAATGTTGTAGTTTCCCTATTGAAGGTATTGTGGAGGATTTTCAAGATTTTTTTTTAAAAGATCTGCCTTCTCAACTTTGAAAAACAATGCACGTGTGAGAGCGTGCACAAGCCCATTTCTCCTTGTGCACGCTCTGTTTAAAAGTTTCTGTTCTCATAGCTCATACAAGCTTACTGTTTCCAAAAGTCCGCCCTAACCCCTAAATCCCTCAATCACTATATAGAGTGGGGACTATATAGTGGACTTTATTGCGAACTCAGTTAACTTATTGTTCGGACAGATGATCAGTGCTTTTTGCTGTGTTGGTCAAGTAGCTCCTCCTCCACCGCGCCTATGGTGACAGCAGGCCGGTGTGTGCAAATCCCATAATGCTTTGCAAGGAGAGCTCTCTGCGCAAAGCATTCTGGGATCTATCTGCCTCTTCTGCAGCCTTTCTTTTCTTCTCACACACAACTGCCTTTTGAGCTTCAATGAGTGTCTGAAACCCTAGCTCACCACAGATATACGCTTGAAAGTGCGAATGTGCAGAAAAAGATAGCTAACGGGACGAGCACGTAGGACGGCCTTACGGAAACATATCAGCAGAATGATTGACAATTAGGAGGACCACTTATTTGAATGATCCACACAGAAATAAAAGATCGTCCTCTATACCTTTTACTTTAAAAAAAAAATGCTTTTAGCGATATAGAAATACTGCATTGCTTCAAAAATTGTATATAATTTGTTATATTTTTCAGCCATGGAGGTCACCATTTTTTTAGCGGAGCAGTGTATGCAGCTGTTAAATGATGCGATTAGATCTTACTACACCTAAATTTACAAAATATATACAGTAGGGCTAACATTACCCAAGTTTGCTGTAAATTTAAACAATACCACACTGTATGATTGAATCAAAGTTTTCATGAGCTTTTATACATGTAACATCTATTAAAACAGATCGCTTTGTTATCTACTGTTGCTATTATTCGCTAGAGCTAACACCATTAGCCGATGCTAACGTGAAACCAAAATCAAATCTTAAGACAATAAACAACTGTTTAAAGTGACACTGAAGCATCTTTTAGTCGTTGTAGAACATCGTTATAAAATATCTGAGAACATTTTTCTATTCTTGTGCTTAAGTTTCAAAGCGGAACTCTTTGTAGCATAGCTCTCCATTTGGGTTAGCGTCTCCTATTAGCATCCACACAAACACCAGCCAACTATCCCCTCTTCCTCCGTTTGGTTCTCTTTAATTTCATTACCTCTTGTGATTTCTACAATCTCATCTTTGTCAACTTGGCTCAAATTGAAAAGGTTTATCATTACTCATTGCTGTTTTTTCTGTAAGGAACTGGCAGCTACAGGACCTAGCATACATGATGTACTCAGTTCCACTGTAACAATATGGTTACGTCAATGTGACAATATTATATTTTGATTTATTAAAACTAAAAAGCTTACAAATGTTTTACTTTATATCAAAAATAGCTATTTTCTTTATTGTAACAGCTAATCGTGGATCCCTTTAAACTGCATGAGCAGTATAGAGGGGAAAAGTCGTCTGTTTAAAACCATATGCTTTAATATGAGCCCCTTGTCTACGTTCAGTTGTGTATTTTTATTTGTTCACATAATTATTTTCTATGTTCTTTCCTTTGTTTTTAATATTTAAACTCATAGTTTATTTTTGGTTCTGGAGTTCCCCCTTGAGACTATTCATGATTTTTTTTTCCAAGAGCTAATGTCATTAAGCTGACTTCAAGACAAAATGCTCTCCACATTTCACTGGAATTTCTTCCTTTATTGGATTTGTTAACGCAGCGCGGCTGAACTGAAACTCTGAAACAAGCTGATTTTCTAAGGAACAACAAACAATCTCTATGTTTACACTGAAACTAGAGGAGTGAAAAAAAAGTGCTGATCATCTGTCAAGACATCGGCATGCGTCAGTGTCGGTGTTTACCACCTGATGACCTGCCTGATCCCTTCCTGCTCTGGCTTGTCATGCTACAAATAACGATCAAACAAAAGTTGTCTGCCTTTTTATCAGTCAGGCATCTGATGTACGATCTCTTTTTGATTAAGATCTGACTTGGAAAACATTTTCAAACAGGTTTTGTAAACGGTCGATGGATGCGCTCTCTTATTTAAATTTGGTACTGACTAGTTTGTGCTTAGCGAAGGGTTTTTGACGCTGTTTTTGGACTGACATTCAGGGAAGATGTTCAATTCTGAACTGATGGGAGTGGCTTTAATCACAGCAGTTAGTCTCCAGGAAGCAAAGACATTTGTCCTGAACCTGGCAGGGAAGATTTTAATAACAATCACTCTTTCATCTCCTTTTTTGGTTCCGTTTACTACAGTTTTAGCCAACTCTCTGATTATATGGTTAAATGATCAGTCATTATGTTGTTCTCATTGAGATTCTTATAGAAACTGAAGGCAAGGCAAGTCAAGGCAAGGCAAATTTATTTGTACAGCACAATTCAGTACAAAAACAATGCAAAGTGCTTTACATGATTAAAATATAGGAAAATAAAACAGAATCAAAGCAAGTAGGAAAAATAAATAAAATAAAAAATGCAGAAACAAAAAAGAATACTAAAAACAGTTGGACTAAAGAAAATAAAAAAGTTGAACTAATGATGTTTCAGTTGAACTGTTTAACTAGAACTGTAATGATCTCAGAATATTGGACCCAGAATTCAAGGCGAGTCAGGCAGTGGGAAAGTTCAAAGCGTTTATTTAATACAAACAGGAGCGCGGGACTGCTCGTCTGCTGCGGGACGGATCTCTGCAGAGATGGGAGAATACATGTCAGTGACTGAATGTGGAGCTGAATACGACTTGGAGCTAAGTCACTGACCTGATTCAAAGTTCAGTCCGTTCGCGGAGAACACAGCTGAATGCAGGAGGGAGGTTTGACCGCAGTTGGGGCGGACGACTCTCCCAGAGTTCCTAGAGAGCGAGCGGAGCGGGTGCCAGTTCCACGTTCAGAAGCCGGTAGAATCCAAGATCAGATGCAACAAACAGAGCAGACAGGGGCAAGGCAAAACTCGAGATCCTCAGGGCAGAAACTGGTCAAAATCAGGAAAACAGACAGACTACAGATTGCTATGAAACATCTCACCAAAACACTCAAATAACCTGGTGCTGATGGGAGGCAAACACACAACCTAAATAGTAGAGGAACCAGGTGGAAATGATCGGCGATAATCATCCGCAGAACCAATTAGACAGGGGAGCAAGGAGCAAAGGGAAAAAAACCAACCCATCAGCGCCAAGATCATGACAAGAACAGTCGAAGGCAATCCTAAACAAATGTGTTTTTAGTCTTGATTTAAAGGAACTCAGGCTTTCCGCCCTTTTACAGTTTTCTGGAAGTTTGTTCCAGATAAGTGGAGCATAGGAACTAAATGCTGGTTCTTCATGTTCAGTTCTGGTTCTAGGTATGCAGAGCAGGCTGGAGCCAGGAGACCTGAGTGGTCTGGAGGGTTGATACACTGATAGCAAGTCTGTAATGTATTTAGGTGCTAAGCCATTCAGAGATTTATAGACTAACAGTATTTTAAAGTCTATTTTCTGAGATATAGGTAGCCAGTGTAAGGACTTTAGAACTGGGGTGATGTGCTCTACTTTCTTAGTCTTAGTGAGGACACGGGCAGCAGCGTTCTGGATCAGTATAAGGACTTTAGAACTGGGGTGATGTGCTCTACTTTCTTAGTCTTAGTGAGGACACGGGCAGCAGCGTTCTGGATCAGCTACAGCTGTCTGATCCACTTTTTAGGCAGACCTGTGAAAACACCATTGCAGTGAAGAGCTTCAGCACCTCAGCTTCTTTATCAGAGTGAACTGTTTCCACTTGAGCCTTTTATCAAAGCTTGTCAGGTCTACATGTGTTATGAGAAGGTACATTAATAATTACCAAGTGAGAAATGCCAGGAATGTTAGTGTGTTTTCTCACATGCCTTTCGCTGAACTTCAGCTCTGCTAATAGCAGCAGCTGGCAAACACTTTGTGGGCTTTGACTGCTAACAAGGTGCAAAGAATGACATTTAGCTGTTTGCTTTTCTCACAAATTCCTGTAA